GGAAAAAGGGACAAGCCAAGTGAGCCTAGAAACATTGTCAGGGTATGCAGGGATGCAACAAGGAAGTCCAAGGCCCATTATGAATTGAATCTAGCAGAGAACATTAAGGACAACAAGAAGGGCTTCTCAAAGTCATCACCAAGCATGTAGAAGAAATCAAGTCCGCTGATGACATGAAGCTAGGTGACTGGCTGATAGGCACCTGAGGATTGTGCAGCCATTCCGCAGGACCTTGACAGGCTGGAGAACTGGGTGGAGAGAAACCTAATGAGGTTCAGCAGGAGCAAGTGCAGGGTACTTGGAGGAAGAACCCGAAGTACCAGTACAGGCAGGGGCTCACCTATGAGAAAGCAGTTCAGCTGAGGGCCTGGGAGTGTTGGTAGGTAAGTTGACCATGAGCCAGCAGTGTGCCCTTGCAGCCAGGAGGGACAATAGTACCCTGGGGAGCATGGGGAGGAATGTGGCCAGAAGGTCAAGGGAGGTGATCCTCCCCCTCTACCTGACCCTGGTGAAGCCACATCTGGAGTATCATGTCCAGTTCTGGGCTCCTCGGTACAAGACAGACAAGGAGCTACTAAAGAGGGTCCAGTGAAGGGCCACAAGGATGGTCACGGATCTGGAGCATCTCTCTTATGAGGAGAGACTGCAGGAGCTGGGCGTGGTTAGTCTAGAGGAGACTTAGAGGGGATTTCATTAATGCATATAAGTATCTTAAAGAGAGGTGCCAGGAGGATGGTGCCAGGCTCTTGAGTGGTGCCCAGTGACAGGACAAGGAGCACTGGCCATAAACTAAAGCACAGGAAGTTTCACTTCAGCAGGAGGAAGAACTTCTTTAAGTTGAGGGTGGCAGAGCAGAACAGGCTGCCCAGGGATGTTGCAGATGTTGTGGAGTCTCCCTCTCGAAACATTCAGAACCCACCTGGACATGTTCCTGTGTAACCTGCTTTAGGTGGCTCTGCCTTGGCATGGGGTTTGGACTAGATGATCTCCAGAGGTCCAGTCCAACCTCAATGATTCTGTGCTTCTGTAAAATTTTGGGGCCTTCTTCCACCTCCCTTAGCAAAGAAAGCACTGAGTCTGGAATAGAGCTTATTCTTCTCTTTATTACAACACAGAAAAAATCCATTTGTTCAATGCACTCCTCAGAGCAGCATTCAACAGTTATTAACAGATGACCCATAAAACGTGGGCCAGGCTTTACTCTGGAGACACACGCTATCCTGAGCGGTTTCCAGTCTCCTGCAGTTTATACACACATCCATGGCAAAGACTAGTCCTGCCACAGGAAGACCATCTCTGCTGCAATTAGTCTACATTCTGCTATAAGGAGAGGGGAAGGAACATGTAAAAACAGCAGATCGAGTGACAAGGGTCATCCCAAAAGCCAGACAACAAAGGGAGGTTCCTGCTCAAAGAACCTCTGAACACAACAGAGTCAAATGGAGCTTATCAGGGAAAAAAAAACAACCCCAATTTTGACAACACTAATGACTTAGCCTTGTATCAAGGCTTCTTAGATCTCTTCTAGAGAAACTCACTTGAAGGACTTCCAGATAAAGATCTGTTTTCCAGATAAACCTAAGAACCAAGGGACATTGGTAAGGATCCTGCACAAGAGTTGTGTCAGCACAGTTCCAAGGTTTCTCATCCAGCTGGCAGGAGGAAAAACCCACTTGTCTAAACTGGAGAAACTGGTTTTATGGGAAGAAAATGTAGGCTTGAATACTGACACTAAATGTTATAATCAAAATGGCATTTAAATGCCTGTGCAGATAAAACCCTGCAATAAGAGTAAAACCCCAAACTTTTTTATTGAAGTCTGGCTTTAAAAAAAAATACAAGTGTATTTCTTTAAACCTCAAGCATACACAGCTGAGTTATTCATATCTTCCATTAGACATGGCTTAATGCTTCAGCCTCCATCAGCTCCATGACTGCATGTGCTACATGACTAACGAGTTTCCCTCTATACAAAAATGCATTGACATTTTACAAAGGCTTTTATTTTCTCTAACACTTACACACAGCTGTTTTTACACAGAATAGGGACTGCAGTGTAGCCATTGTGCACATGGCAGCAATTTTACTCCTTGCTCCATTTGGTGTCCCTTGATCAGAGGCTGATGCACGCCGGCTAACTGGGGTGCCAGAAAAGACCACTGAAGGCATCCTGTAAGGCTCGGCTGCAAGCAAGAGAGGAAGTGTAGCCCCCAGCAACATCCTGGGGAGAGGCAGCTCGCACGTGGGTGAGATACCTGAAAGAAAGAGAAGCAGCATTTCAGAGCAGAAATAAACACATCAGACACCTGTGTGGTTCTCAGCACAGTCAGGTCAAAGATGCTTTTTGGGAGAAAGCAAGGAGATGGAGCTGCCCACTGCTAGCCACCTACAAAGGGATCAGTATACAGCTTTACTAGTTGAAATGATGGCAATGCTGATGGACCTTCATACAAGCTGCCCAGCAAACACACTGAAAAAACCTGCCTCTGGCAACAGGCTGCACAGGGTTAAGAACAGTCACTGGGCTGCATTTTGGTACTTGCTCTGGGGGCAGGACTGTATTTCTTTCTTACAAGATGATGATGACACAAGCTTTCCTACACTCCCACAGGAGTCAGAGTTTCAGCTCTGTCCAGTTAGCACTATGTCCTTCCAAGAGCCAACCATGATGGTTGCTGTGATAATGACAGGGCTAAACTTTCTGCTCTCAGGCCTATCTGTATCTGCAGTAAGTCCACTGACACCAGGGAATTATGTCTGTGGAAGGCTGACATTTTGGCTAAAGCAGCTGCTGAACTGCACCATGATTTCACCATCATCATCTAAGGGGCATGTAGCAGCAGGGCGAGGGGAAAGGGTTTTAAACAGAAAGAGGGGAGATTTAGATTAGACATTAGGAAGATATTCTTCCCTGTGAGGCTGGTGAGGCACTGGCACAGGTTGCCCAGAAGAGCTGTGGATGTTCCATCCTTGGCAGTGTTCAAGGCCGGGTTGAATGGGGTTTTGAGCAACCAGGTCTAGTGGAAGGTGTCCCTGCCCATGGCAGGGGGGTTGGAACTGGATGATCTTAAGGTCCTTTCCAACCCAAACCAGTCTGATTCTATCATCTTTGCCACCAAATTTTACACCAAACCAGCTAGGCTGATTCTGAACCATGCTGCCTGTGCTAGCCCTGCTGCAAGCTCTTGGCTCCCCTCAGCCCCTTCTGAGGGCTCATACCCAAGAGCTCCCACTAAAGGTGTCTGTTCAGGGGTATGTGGATGGTTTCATTTAGTGCTTTAACCACAGAAGTCCTTGCATCCCATGTAAGACAGATACAAGACCAGGTTCTTGGCTAGTTTTGCACCAAAACCATTTCAAATACAAAGACAGCCACAGGCCCAGCACTATCAGCACAATGATCACCCCAAATTCCAAACGCCAGATAAAATACCATAAATGAGAACTGCTTTTCAGAGTGGCCATGTGAGCCTCTGAGCTTCAGCTAGCTGTTTTGATTCATTGCTTAGTACATGTTGCTCCTGGGAAGGTTGAGTCACTCCACCTCTGGCTTGGCAATTCAAGCATAAACTTGCAAAATGCATACAGCCTTTTATAATGTTATCCTGAGAAACCTAAACCAGCTGCACTTCTGGCAGGAAAATACAGGACCACCAGTAAAATATCCAAACCAGTTGCATCTTTTAATTTATTACTGTACACTGTTTCCATAAAGAGTATATAAAACAGGTCAGATTTTATAGGTAAGACATAATAAACAGTCATACCCATTGAAGCCATAAATGTGTACAAAAAGAGGTTACTTAGAAATGATTAATTACAGTTTTAAAACTGTATTTCTTGCACCTAATAACCACACTGCACAGACATGAGCAACATTTCTGAGTGATTGCTGGTGATACTGAAGCTGAGAGACTGAATTTGCCTCCTGTGGCTGGGCTGAGGTGAGTTCTGCTACTTGGTACCAAAGTGGGACAGAGCCCTATCCTCACTGTTGGACATGGGTTCCCATCAGCACAGCAGAGACCCTGGGGTACAAACCCACTTCACAGTGTTTAGTCCAAAGGGAACTAACAAACACAGCAGCAAAGCCGGTCCTTTCTCTTCATCTGCAGGGGAAGCTGGTCTGCAGAGAGCTCTGGTCTAGGGGGAGAATGCACTTAACAGATTTTAACTTCTTTTTTTAACATTCTTATTACTTGTCCCTTAATATTTTAGGAGGAAAATCTCATCCTTCCCGAAGGCCTTTTACAACTGCTGTATGAAACAAGAGCTCCTTCCCCCAGCCAGTAATGATGAAGGAATACTGACAACAAGAAGTAATTTCCTTTGAAACGCTGGTGTGAAACTATCTCCACCCTCCAAGCCAGAGAGTCTTATAAAAATCAATTCCCTCTCAGATTTCACGTCTGTCATGTTTTTTTTCATTGCAGAAACTTCAATTTTCCACTCCTACATGGAGCAGTCCAGAGAAAACAGGGGATTACTTTATGTTTTTGCATTAACAAAGGTCGGTTGTGTTTTTCATTACTTTTCTTATCATTTGTTACTTATACAGCACTAGAAGGAGAGAGACAGAGTCTATTGTTTCCTTTTTTTAGGTCATTTGAAATTGGGGCATTAGTTTCATAACACAACCTGATTTACAGCTATTACAGCACTTGGTATGTGATCTCTGAAGCAATACAAAATCATTGATAAAAAGACTCCGATCAACTTTTACTGTGACAACCTGCGTTAATTACCCTTCCTCCTGTGGAACAAGCATGACAAGCTGCTGGCTGTCAAGTGAGGTCTTTATTTTCTTGTTAAGTATTTGAACTTACTGCTCTTGACTGTTTAATTACTGTGGTACACCAGGCAATTGCAAAGAATCTGCCACTCCGAAGCCACACAATGAGAAGTGAATGTTTTGCCAGCTTTTCCCCACTGATCACCATCTGTGCAGCCTGAATCCGGCTGTGCCCTTCACAGGAGAATCTCTCTGAACTGGATTCCTGGGGTTTCTGGCAGAGGTCAACATATCTTTTCATGTACACCTTTACAACAGCAGCAGGAAGAAGCGCCTGCCAAGTTTTATTTCCAAAAAGTCAAGCTCCGTTAGGTCTTGGGACCTAGAGGTAATTGCTCTCACTAGTTAGCAAATTCCAGCACACTAGGTCTGTTTTTCATAGGTTTATTTTAAGTATCTGTAAATCTTATAAGCAGAAACCAGGAAAGAGAGGTTTGCTTTTTCTGGTGCGGAGGTTTTTTAGTGTAGCTTGTTTTTACTGAGGGCAGACTGGAGTTAAAAAAAGCCTGCACCATTATTTCTGAGCAAGGCTGAAGGGCTGTGTGTTCTCTGCCCCATGGTTTCACACTTCCCACTGTAATGCCTGCACTCCGCTTCGGGCTCTGCCCAAACAAGTTCCCTTTCCTTAGCTGCAGCCGTTGGATGTTGATCTTCCCCATTAACCTTTCACATCAATTAAAACACATCGTATTTTGTTCTTCATGAGCCTTCAGGGGGCTCATTCCTGACCTCTGGTTTCTCATCACCATGCGGGGAGTGGGGGGATGATTTTTAAAAAGCCTCCTGCTTTCAAGGGAAGAGGTGTAATTCACACTTGCTGCAGAGACTCGCAATCAAGCTCGTAACTCCCGGAGTGGGTTTCCTTCACTTTTTCTCTTTTCCGAAGGCTGTGTCACCATCACTTCATCAGGAGTGATGGGGACCATCACAGAAGTACACAGCAGCATGATCCCCTGTGACTTCCACCCACTGCCCAGGCAGCCTCAACACCCCTTCGTATGGCCGTTTCTGAGGCGCAGAGAACCCAGCACAGCTTGTCAGACAGTAACATCTGAGACCACTGGCAAATGTCCCCTCACTGCTCCACAGAGCAGTCTTGTTTCAAAGATGCTCAGGAAAGACCTCAGAAACAGAGAAGATGGAGAAACAGCACAATCAAACCAGGCTAAAAGAAAATCAAAACAAAACCAAACCCAAACCAAAACCACCACACACCAAAACATCCAACCAACAAGCCAAACACCCCCCACACACATAGTACTTCACCCACCCAATTGTAAGTATCAGTGCTTGGGATTATTTCATACCACCTTCACCATCTATCCAAGATAAATACGCTCCACTGGTGTTCCTGCAGATGCATCACTAGAGTGTTGGAGTACATGTGGAGTACTGTGTATTTGGCAGACAGACTGTACTTTTTTTGATGTATTAGGTATTTTATTAGGGTGAAGAAAAATCATTCAAAAACTGTTTGACAGAAGGAAAAAGATCATGTAATTCTATTCCACAGAATAGATTTACTGCTCATCTGATTATCGGCTGTATCCAAGACAGAAGGTAATAGGGCAGCCATTAGATCTGGGAAATCTTCCAGATTCATCATATAAATAATAAATAGTGGTTGCATGAAAGCAGGAAAATACTCCAGTCCGGAAAATTGTGTAAAGCATTAGTAACGCAGTAGCACACACTGCATTCCTGAACCTTTCTAGAGAGAATTGTTTTCATTAGGTTTACACAGTCTCTAAGATGAACTATCAATGTGTTATTCACAGTATCACTGCAGAGACTGGGTCTTATCAGATGAGAGATGCACATAATAAACTTTTCTGTGGCCTGTTTTCCCTTGAGGAATGCATGGCCTGGGTTACACTAAGCCTCCGAGCAGGTAAGAAACTGAGCTCCTCCCCTCAACTGTGATTTGTTTGAACCAGTTCTACCACATAGTTGGTCCATGCAGCCAAAGCAGAATTTGTTTATAAAATGAGCTGAGTTCATTGCTGTTCTTCATTACATTGCCCTTGGAAGTTCATTTGGGAACAGGCCTTCGCTAGGTGTTACTCAAACCTTGCAGACAGTAACCTGCACAACACAAAACTGATACTAAAAGAAGTCCAGAATAGCAATTCATCCTTCCAGGCTAGCTACAAGCCTGATCCCAGGTCTTCAGAAGGCAAATAGCAGTCTTTCGTTTATTTCAGCAGGCACTCTTTGTATTTAGATCTTAACAAACCAACCAGCTATTACTGCTGTCAGAAGTTCCTGCTGACCACCAGCCAGCACAGCCTGTTCCAACATATATTGAAACTTTAACACAACCATGAATTCCACAAGGGCCCTTCACGAGCCCAGCTCAGTGCCCCAGGTCACACTTCAGTCCTAACAGCAGCGATGCACCTACCATCAGCCACTCTTCTCTGCCCTCCACCACCACAAGTATTAAGTGGGGAAAAAAAAAAGCTATTTACTAGTTGAATGGGAAAGACTTTTCCCCAGGAAGGAACAGGTCCATGGCTGCCTCAAGGAACCAAGACATCATTTGGTTGATAAATACAGCAGAACAGTTTTAATTACTTTCATTTGAATGTGACCAGGAAGTCAAAAAAGGCACAACAAACAACTGTGGTGTGGGGTTTGCTGCAGGCACCAGCAAACAGACAGGGAGGTTCCCACTGCACCAGCCAAGGGGGGCATGCTACTTGGTTTGCTTTCTTTTCATGCCTCTGGCTATCGTGCCTCTGTGTATACAACTGCAGCAATCAGTGTGAATCAGTATCAAGAAACCACTAAGCACCATGAACTCCAAATATGACAGGTCCCAAGGCAGACAGAAAAAAGAATATATTTTTATCCAGATTATTTCAGCCATTAGTCTTGCAGCAGAAGACCAAATACAGCCCATAGTGCAGGGGTGCAAGACAATGTCACCCTAAATACCACAATGGAGTTTTGGCTATTGAAAAAGCCTACAAAAGAGAGCTACCATAACCACCACCCTTGATGCCTGAGCAATCCGACTTGCAGAGCAAACCCACCAGTTCAGATTCAGCTTAGTAAAGCCAGCCTGTCTTTTTATTAGTAGTAATACTGTTGAGCTACGCTAGTTTTCTGAGGGCTTAGTGAGCAGAAACTGCCCACCAAGATATCAGATGGGTCCCAGACTCCAGCTCTTCCATGCCACAGGCTTGCTCAGCCCATTTCACATACCTACACACTAAGAAGCTGCCACAGAACAGTCACCTATTCATCCTGATTCACAGAGCTGTGCCTGGAGTTCCTCTCATTCAGACCAGCACGTTATCAGGTAAAGAAGCTTATGGCGTGCTTGTAAAGCCACCCTTTGGAGGCTCTTATTCAGGGGCTGCAGCTGTTGTTAGAGTGGACTGCTGAAAGCACAGCTGGCATTATGAGCCAGCCCCCTGGTTCCAACTGACTTCATCTTTGACAACATTTCCAGGGCCTTACTTAAATCATAAAACCATAGAACAGCAGGTTGGAAGTGACCTTGAGGATTATTTGGTTCTACCTTTCTAGGCAAGCATGACCTAGACTAGATGTCCTAGCACCCTCTCCAGCCAAATCTTAAAATGTCCTGGACATTTTTTTCCAAATGCTTGGAAACAAATATACCCGTACTTAGTTGACATTTGAGTATTCCCCTTCATAGGCAAACTTCAACCAACTTTCCAGTAAGTCTGCATCTTGCAATAAATTCTTCAAAATCAAACGCCTGCTGACTTCTAATGGGTCTCTATTTGTTACAATGAATACTTAAGAAAAAAACTTCTTACTTGGGAGACTGAGTTCATAGCTCCCAGAACTTTTATTTCTTAGTTTTGTGCCTTCCAAGAAAATAAGTCTGTTCTAACAGAAACAGCTTTTCCCAGGAGGACAGCCAAGAAACCCCCAACCCACCAAATCCATAAAAGAAAGTGATTCTTTTTAGCCTCCTCCACCTGCTTTTTCTAATTAGCAGTTTGTTTCAAATGCTGTCTGAGTGTCTCTGGGCGGGAGTACATGTCAAGGATGTGTGCTGACACAAAGTTCTTTAAAGTAAGGGCTGCCACAGCACACCTCAGCTACAGTGGAACAGCAGAGTTCTGCTACTGGAGATGGGAGGAGGGAAAAAAAAGCCTAGAAAAGCAATATATAGTTGTTGCTGATAAAGCCAGTTCTGACTCCAAAGGTAGAGATCAGTGACAGGTTATTCCTCCCTCTTTTCCCCCACTCCTCCCTTACACCAAAGGGCAAGCATCTCGGACGATGGCAGCTCAAAGCCACACATGCCCTGCTGCAACAGCGACCCAGCAGCACCTCAGGCTCAGCGCTTCCACTCCGCAAACAGGCAGCTTTGCTCCTTACCATTCAGCTACTGCATGACCAATAAAAGAATCTCTGGAGTATTTAACATAAGAACTAAGTAACCTTTATTTGATGTTTCACATAAACTGTTTCCTCTTCAAATGGAGAAACACGTACTTAAACTGTAAGATACATCCCATTATCCATACCAGAGATACTGTTACAAATTACCTATGACATTGGCGAGTACAACTGTGAAGCCTGCAACAGGAAAATCTTTCAATGCAAGGACGCAAAGTCAAACCAGTCACCCTTCATGGGGGGAAAAGAACAAAATCATATTTTACCATACCATTTTCCCTGAAAACTTCCTCTTTTTGTGATGAAATCCAGACTCCAGAGACCCAACATTTCCACTGAAAAACTAAGATAATGGGGGTGGAACGGAGGGAAATTTTCTAGACAGCTGTCTCAAAATACATCTTCAGTAGTCAATGTGTCATAAAACCCCCCAACTCTTCCACTGGTAAGGAAAGCTTAAAGCAACAAAATTTTTAGAGAGTACCTCATTCTCTAGCATCTTCCTAGCACTGAACTAGCAATTCAACTGCTGCTCTAGGCTTTAAACAGACATAAGACCAGAATCAGGCACTCGTGTCTATTTAACACATGAACAAACATTTGCCTTTAGAGTAACTGAGAAGCTAATGCTATTGCCTACAGGTAAGATGAAAAAGCATGGAGGAATTAAGATCAAAGAACAAAGGGAAATGCCTTCTGCCCCACAGAGGCTGTCTGATACAACAATTTTAAAAGTGGATGTTTTAAAGTGTAAATGATGAGAAAGGTTTTAGAAAATAAAGCAAGCTTTGTATTACTCTGACCTAATACGCATTTTCTCAGCCACCGGCTGACAGTTCTGGACACCACACGCAGGCTGTGCATGCAGGTTTCTGCAGGCACTGCTGTAACAACAATTTTTAGACAACTCCAGTGTCACTGCAGGGTCCTGCCCAAGAAGGCAGTAGCCCTACTGCAGCTATTTCACATAGGGAAAGACTATAGACTCAAAGCACTATGGACTTAGGCTATTGATTTAAATCACTGTAGACTACAGAGGTAAAGATTACAAACTTAGAGAACTCTGAAATGAGTCATAAACTCCCCAAATGCTGTGAGCTGACCTACACCCATCTTCAGAGGACCTGCAAATCAAATTTCACCTGTAAACAATACGTTAACAAGTTTAAACCCCCTCTTTCCAATGAGTTAGACAAGCTACACGCTTATGTTCAAGAACTCACATGTAAATCCAATGCATGTTTGATAAACACATTCTGCACCTCCTGTGAGCCCAGAATTCACAATGGGTGTCTGCGTAGTTCCTTTGATAAGAAATGCTACATTTAATCAGCACTTTCAAAAGTTAAAGCAATGACAGAAATCAATCTGATTTGGCTTTTTACTTTAAAAAAAACCTCCAAAATAAAATAAAACCTTGAAGCTCCTAGATTATACAATAATCCCCAATTCAGACAAAGGAGGCATATTCTCAGATTGTTTAAGTGAACCTGCTTTATAGATCTCTGTGCTGTTACAGGGCAGACTCAAGACAATGGATATCTGAAAGTTCTCATTTTATCAGGTAACTGCCCGTTTCAAAATAAAAATAGGAAATGGAAAGCAGAACCTGCAAACACAGTAATCCTTTGCAAGCAAAGAAAAACTAAAGGCTATGCAATTTCTTTTTGTTCACGTTTCAGCTCTGTAAAGGATATTTTATACAAGTTCTACCCTGACTTTTCTTTCTTCAGTTATTGGGGAAATTCCTCACATCCCACTTTCCTCCCAGTAATATATTTAGTTGTTTTAATGGCTTCATACATGTCTCTCAAGAACCATCACTGATTATGCTGCATAAACTGTTTGCTTCTTGTTGCTCACCACACATTTCAGCACTACACATTTTTGCCAGCATTCCAGACACCATCTCCGCAGTATGCTCAACCACTACCATTTGATTATTTTTTCTTTCCCTCAAACTGAAAGGATTTCTGCCTAAACTCTTTCCCAAATAGCTGCTTGAATTCATATCCCTGCACATTTAGCCGGTAACAAAAGGTTAATGTTTATTTCCAGAAGCCTCGCTCACAGGAAGCCTTCCTTCAGCACGAGCAACTTCCGTAACTCACGCCTCTGGGAGCAGAGGGGATGGGAGCGCTCCTGGATAAGCGAGGCACCTGGTCCCCCATTTGTCATCTTCCTGAGGTCACCCACCAGCTGCCTGTCCTCTCAACACCCAGCCTCGCCACCGCGGCCAAGGCATCCTCCCTCACTCACGTTTCCAGGTCTGAACTTCCAGATACAGTAAATCAATCCGCCATCACTGAAACCACTCCAACAACTGCAAGTAAGCACTTTAACACCCTTGAGCGGCCTCGCTGCATAACAAGGACACTGCAGTCCTAGCTGGAATCCAGCAAAGCACTCGCTCTGCAGGACTAGTATAGATTACACTTTGGAGGACTGCAGAACTGCAGCTACTTTTAGTCTATGACTAAATCAGGCTCCACTTGTACTTGACCCCGAGAAGAATGCCATTGAACACAAGGGCCTCTTCTCAGCTATGATCCCCTATCTCTTCCTTTTCAATGGCTAAAAAGACTATTAAGCCATCATTTCTAATGGCAAGGTAGCTCTCTTCTTAACATGTTGTGGAAATGTTTTGGCATGGCTCTATCTTCAAATTCTTCATCTTTCCTACTGCCTCCAACTCCACACACTACATTTAGGACACAGGTCACCAGAAGAACATGGATATGTTTAAGTAGTTATTACTACTCTGAGGAAGTTTGCCACTGTTTTGTAACTTACTACCTGAGTCAGGATTGTTCTCATAGGCTTATCTTTCTTGTTTTTCCTTATAAGAATAAGCAACTTCAGTTTTAAAGACATCACTGTGTCTTTCCTCACGGCTAAGGGAACATTTCCCTGGGTTTGATTCCATGAATACAGCATCTCCTCCGTAGGCAAAAAGAACACAGCTTTTATTCTGACAGTTCTTTTGGACACACAAATTCTTCTTTTAGCATAAAAATTCCCAACTGTTCCTCACTCGCTGACTCTGTCTCTGACTTCTGCACACCCCACTGCGCACCATAAATCCCTAGTGCACGGCAAGCAATCCATATTGATGAACTGGGGCTTTGAGTGAGCTACATGAAAGAGATTCCTTCTGGACCAGCTTCCATGTAAATTACACAGCTGTGAAGCAAATGAAGCCATTTCTGAACAGAGCACTCAATCAGGAACACCTACAGCAACAGGATGGAGATGCACAGAGACTTTTTTTACCCCCTTTTTTCAGTACATTTGTGGCAAGAGGTCACAAAGATGGTCATGACTGTGCCACAACTGCAGAGTGCAGCATAGACTGCTGTGAGCAGAGAGGAGATCTTTTTGCTCCAGAAGCTCTGGTAAGGACCTTGACTTTGGGCGCAAGGCTGGAAAATGGACTGGCCAGCACACTTTCAGAGGGTTTTTCACATTGAAGGACTGTGTTTTAGTCCCAGCAAGAGAGGACAGAGCCCCTGGGGACTTGGGTGTCAGACACAGTCACAGTCAGGTTGCAGACTAATAGAGGTCAACAGCCTGCCTTGGCCCTACACCTTCCCCCAGTTTGCCTCCTCCAACTACTTGCTCTGGTGCATGGCTCTGAAATGACACTGTAGGGCACTGACCTCAGTGAGAACAATGAGGCTGGACCTAAGCGGGAAGAAACATCACCTTCTACCCCACTAGCATAAAGGACTGAGAGCAGCAAAACAACAGCAGGAAGGCATTTACCACAGACACAGACTTTACCCCCAAATTGCTTCTGATAGAAAAAAAACATCATATGAATGACGAAAAATGACATACTGTCTCCCCAGGTCAGATGGTCTATCCTGCTTTCACTGTGACACAGCATCCTCTGTTCTGACAGAGTAGCAATGAATTCATGTAGCATGGTAATTCCAGCTTAATATGACTCAAAACAGCACAAGATGTGCAAGAATTTCTAGAGGGTTTTTAACCTCTGATACTGATCAGATAAGTAAGCCACCAAACCTAATAATATTCTCTAATGAATAACTACGAGCACAGAGCTCTGTGCTCGGAGTTATTCATCTGAGATAATAAGAACCCAAAGTTATTTTCTTAAGGCAGTATTTGAAAAGTGTAATTGTTGAAAGCCAAAACACTGCAGTCTGAATGATGCTATTTAAAGATGAAACTCTTCAGGTCAAAAGAAGGTGAAAAAATCAGTCTGCCTGGTATTGCAGCTGACTAATGCATTAGACCCTCTGCTGCTTCAGTTTCTGGTTGCTGCTGATCAGGTCAGCATTTCAGTCTGATGTTAAGGATCAAGTTTACAGCTCCCAGCCATGCTGGCATTTGCTCCTCAGGAAGACCTGGAAGAGGTGCCAGGGAGAAAAGCGAGGAGAGCAGGAGCTAGGAGCAAGAGCTTCTCCTCAAAACCACAGTTGGGCTAAGAATTAGGATCATCTGCCCAAATCACACACTGCCCTTTGGCTGAGCTCTCAGACACCAACCTGCAAAGGAACTGATTAGCCCCACTCTGTATCATAGAGCAGTCAAAGACAGCTCACATGGGTGGAGGGGAGAAGGGAAAGAGTTGCTCTGTTCCCTTGAAAATATTTATATCACGGAATGAAGAAAAAGACCCCACTCCTTCGGTTCTAAGCAGTTTCCTTCTATCTGTCAACATATGGTAGGAGCTATTATTATTTGGCTTAAATACAAAGTATCATCAAGCCTATTTTTCTATTTTAACAGTTTGACATTTCTATTGTGAAATCTGGGTGCAATTATATGGATGTTATTGTCCTTCTCTGTTGTGCCCTGATGGAATTTCGAGAGGGGAAAAAGCAGTGATGACGGGAGATTTTCATTTTACTCTTCTAAAAAGACAATGAGTTACGTGTCTAAATAGAATCATTATTTTATATAATATCTGTTGAATTAGTTTTTATTCTCTGCTGCTTTCAGTCTAATGCAGTTTCCTGAACCAACAGGAGCACAGATACAAAAACAGAAGTGTGCTGAGTTCAGCAGAATAATCTTTCTGTTTCATCTGGGGGAGGAAAGTGTTAACAGAGTTATAACAACCCACCTTGCAAACTGCATCCTCAATAAGTATATGCAAAGAAGTTGTGTGTACTGACTGAACTGCTTCTCAAACCCTCTGATGCAGAAAATGCATTTTCAAACATTTACAGAGAGTGACGAGTGATTGGGGGGGGGGATTATTAAGAAATACTTCCCTTTAATAAATTATCTGGTGATATTCTGCTGAGGAGAGAATTCACATTAACACTAGGTGGCAGAAGGCTCTGTCACATTGAAGACACCTGGCAAACACACTCATTGACCTAGACTTCAGCTTTGATAGGTGATTTTAGAAAAGCTAAGGGGAAAACGGTGGACAGCAAAACAGCTATAAAACCCATTTTCTACCCCCTCTTCGAGTTCTAATTCTGGCTCTGACACCTTTAGTGCACATCATTTCACTGTTTTAAAAGATCATTGGCTATCCCTGAATCTGAAAACACCTTCTAAACTTGAGCCTTAAATCACCTCTTATTCAATTCATGTGCAATTCTGTATGTGACAGGCGATGCCATTAAGCTTTTATTCAAGTAGGAGAGGCATTCACAGTTTAAAGAAATAAACGGTCATTAGGGCAAGTACACAATAAAAACATACACTGCTAGTTACCTTGAAAGATACTTGAAACCTATCTTGGAGTGCTGTAACAAGCACACTTCTGCAGCTGAAAGAAAACAAACCAACAACTCTCAAGCAAACTCATTCAAAACTGCTCAAGACTCATGGAAGAGATCTCCTAAAAATGGCAGCTGCTCCTTCATGGAGATGCACTTTCAAGAGATACTTTTGTAATGACATATAAAATTTCTTGGTGCCAATTGGTTTATCCTACTTTTATGTATTTAATCCTTTGAGAAGTGTTTATGCTCGACTTTCGTTTACTGTGGCCACCCTCTTTCCAACTAACCTAAGTTTCTCTTTCATCTAGCCTAAATCAAATATATAAAGGGTAGAAAAAATTTAATTTCCAGTAAAAAAAGGCAAGTGAAGAAATACTAGCAATCACAACTCAAAGGCAATATACAAAGAAGAATTCGATGCGCGGGCTCTAACAACCTGGATGGAAAAGAAAGCAAACAACAACGTCAGTCAGATGTAAGGAGGAAGCTGTAAACAGAGAGAGGAAAGTGGAAGACAAGCGATATCTAGATGTTAACGACCAAAAGGGCTGGGAGAACAACACGCTATTTCCTTAGCCAAGTAAGTTAGAGCTGACAGCAAAGATCTTCTAGATCACTGTGGCTCCACTGCTTTTACACTTGCCAGCCAATAATGTCCTAGATTTACAGCACTTGAGGGTTGGGTTCCACAAGTGTAGCTGGTGCCAACGAAATGCTCAGCAGCATTGTGGTGGGTTATTTTGCACCTCTAGACATGGAGGCCCTTTGTGTTTAAATATAGCATGTTTTATCATTCACAGTTGTCAGCAGTGGAAATTGTCATCTAAGCAGTAAAAGATGCTGTTGAAGAAACAGGACAGATTGGTTAGAAACTAAAAATCATTTTGGCCATGACAAGTCATCTCACTGCCCATTCTGAAGGTGAGGGATCAAGCCACCCTTTGCAAATTGCTGCCTGAGAGTCAGAATAATCAATAGTAGGTAGGAAAAGTCTACTTGCCAAGGCTACAGCCACTGCCAGCAGATTATTAATGCATCTGTCTGCATTCTTTAATGTTTCCTAAGAAGCAACTATGTTAACTGAAAAGGTGTGATGTGTCACCAGCCCTTCTCCTCTCTCCTTTTCATTTTCTCTCTATATTAAAACCTTGGCTACCAAAGAAAACAATCATGTTTCACCTCATCTTTTCCCAGCTTTCCTGAAGTTCAGTTCCTGCTCTATAGCAATATATACAGTCTAAGTACTATCCCTGACAAGCTGTTTGACAACCCTAAGCTGCACATCTATTTTACTCCCAGAGCTTTGGAGTTGGTAGGGATTAGATGGGAAATGGAGACCAATTAAAATAAACATAGAAAATATCAATGAATTCTTGAGAAACACACAAGACAAGCAAAATGAAACACTACTGGCTTTTGCCCACAATTAGAATACAGCCCATCTCACAGGCTGAACGCTCTGGCTGAGGTCCAGAAAGACACTTAAGCACATGTCTTATTTTAAGCATGTGAGCAGTCTCATTGATTTTTTTCACTCATGCCAGTAAGAATATTCAATGCGCTTAAAGTTAAGCACATTGTTAAGTGCCTTCTTGGATCAAGGCCAGGCTATTTAGCTCTTGCAAGAGTTAGTCTACAGAATACTTACCATTATTTTAACATCTCAAGACTTACTCTGAGATAAAGTTTTATGGTGTATGGAAATATTTCATTCATCAAGTATCACACAAGCAATGACTGGTTTACAGCAACCTTCAGGGAATAAATATGCTTCCTCTTCCCCCATCTTCTAAAGCAGTAACTGGAAGGATTATCAAGACACATACAAATACACTGATAAAGAAAATCAGTTCTGGAAGGGGAGCTGGCAGTCTTACTGACCTGGAAAGCAAAACTAGCCCCATAGTGAAAAGGTGACAGACATACTAATTTTCAGTGAAAACTAAAGTCATTCACCAATATCCCATTCAAATACCAAGTCTTGTCCAGCAAGATTGAAAAATAAGCTAACTGTTGACTGAAATGAATTATCACATTAAATTCCATTTTTTCCTCCTTTCTTTTTCATCTGGTTGAACATAAAATTCAATGAAAGACCTGTTAGTGCCTCCTCAAGATGATCTCACCACATTAGAGCACTTCATAGAGATCAAAGGCACAAAACCCACTCTCGCTTTGCTACAAAGAAGTGCCATTTGCTTCGTTACAGAGAAGTGCATTATTATCTGGTTGGCATTATCCAAGTTCACTGTCGTACTTCATGTAAGAAGCAGAGAAAGACATTTAACATAAGGAAAGCTGTCCTGGGTCAGACCACTGCTCCCTCCGACCCAGCCATCCTACTCCAGAAGCAGAAAAAGAAGCACACAGGTGCCTGACCACTCCAATGGGACCAGCAGGACACTATGACCACTTGCTCCTATCTTATAAGCAGTGGTAATTTTTTCTTTCAGTACTTGTTTCTTCCTGGAAAGTTTAAACTCAGTAGTGAAGTTACATAATTGACAGGGTGATACAGGAACATAAAGCCAATTTAGATCACCTCTGATGTCTCGGGTTGCCTCACAGCTGTATTACTCATCACAGAATTATAGAATCATAGAATAGTTAGCGTTGGAAAGGGCCTTAAGATCATCTAGTTCTGGGCTCTGTCCCCTTTACTCCCTGCCCTCCATCAGGTATTTTCACACACTGACAAGATCCTTCTGAGCTTTCCCTTCTTCAGATTAAACAGTTCCAGCTCCCTCAATCTCACCTCACAGGACAGATATCTCATGTCCTTACT